TTCATACTTCATACATGATGCATCTGAATTCTAAATATTTTAGAGCAACAACAACAATAATACCAAGTTACCAACCCTACTCCATGAATCAATAAGTAGATTATAAACAAAATCAAGTTACCAAGTTCTAATATTCACTTAAGGTTAGGGAAGAAACATAGTGGAAACAAATGAACAAAAAGATTAGAAAGAAAATCAAGTTACCAAGTTCAAATATTCACTTAGGGTTAGGAAAGAAACATAGTAGAAACAAACCGTGCAAACCACACTCATCCGTCGATTTCATTGTTTAATCTTATGAAATTTTTTCATGAAAATGTTTAATCTTGTGAAATTATTTCATATAATACTTTTTTTGATGAAATTGTTTCATATAATACTTAATGAATTTTTAATGAAAATGTTTCATGTATTTCTCTAAAATTAAAATAATGAAGATGATAATATCCAGGATTAACACGCTACACAATAAAAATGATTAATTAACCTCTCATAATTACAAAAAAATGAACAAAATGAAAAATTATGATTGGCTGAATAAGGTTTGTACGGTTTGTACAAATAACATAGTTTGCAAAGTAACCCTCTTTTCTCTCTCTCTCTCCCTCTCTCTCTCTCTCTCTCTCTATATATATATATATAGCAAATCACCTTCACCCGTCGATTTTATTGTTTAATCTTATAAATTTTTTTCATGAAATTGTTTAATCTTGTAAAATTGTTTCATATAATACTTTTTTTGATGAAGTTGTTTCATATATGGTTATGAAATTATTTCATATAATACTTAATAAAATTTTAATGAAACTGTTTCATGTATTTCTCTAAAATTAAAATAATAAAGATGATAATATCCATGATTAACACCCTCCACAATAAAAATGATTAATCAACCTCTCATAACTATAAAACGATGAACAAAATGAAAAGTTATTATTGGTTGAATGAAGTTTGCACGGGTTATACAAATTGGGTGATTTGCATTTGATAGCTCATATATATATATATATATATATATATATATCAGTGTATAGACTTGGGATTATGTGAGACCAAAGATTATTCGTGAGACCCGTAAGACCAATTCTCAACCCTTGGATTAAATATATAATCCGAACATTCATAATCACAAAAATGCCACGAGATTTCTCAATAATCACAAAATTGCCACCGTGCAACTTATTAGATCATTAGCTTATAAAGTTGATCAATGAACATAAATTGGTCTTATGGGTCTCACGAAAAACTCTTTGTCTCACGTGAACCCAACCCTCAATATGTGTGTATATATATATATATATATAGAGAGAGAGAGAGAGAGGTTGGTTATTATACAACCCCCTTGACATTTGTGCAACTAATACAACTCAATCTCAACCGTCCATTTCATTTGATTCATATGTGATTTCATAGAAGTTTTGATTGTTTCCTAATATAAAGTATTGATCATAATTAATGAACCATATTCATCTTCTATAAATATTCAAATTATAATAAATGAACTCTCATCATTTCCATAAATATCTCAATTTATTGGGTTGCATTGGTTGTACAAATGCGACGGATTGTATTTGAAACAAACTCTCTCTCTCTCTCTCTATATATATATATATGTATATATATATCACTTACACAACTAATGATAATCCAAAAGCTAACCATAATTTATAACATTAGCATTTCAGTTTAAAAGGTTCAAGGAAACTCACATAATATAAAATGTAAACTTGCTTGTTGTGTAACAAATGAAAAGGAAGGTCTTTCTCAAATCTCAAGTAAGTTTTCAACATTTCAAACTAAACCTTCTAGATTTAAAGTTTATCAAAACAACCCCCTGAACTTACATGTCTATTAATATTCAATATCTTGAGATATTATTATAGATTTTATATTTTTATAGATTTGTCCAATCACATCACTTATAGTTCCACGAATTCATACACTATATGGACTCACGATTGAAACGAAGTTGTAAAGTTACACTTTTATGTTTTGAATATTTAATCAAATGTTATTTTTATAATAATAATCTATATGATTTTCTTTCTTCTAATATTAATGTAAATTTTTTAATATCATTATCTGATTGAATAATATGTATATATATAATCCTATAAAATGTTGCATCCTCGTGTTGACGTGTAAGGCTTGTTATTGTTGCCACGTCATTTTAAACCTTGCTAATTATTGATTAGAAACCAATTACATGAAAACTAAAATTATCAAAATCAATAATTACATGTAATCACAAGGGTCACCTCATCCGTTATTGGTTTATCTTCAGAAAAGCAACTATTATTTAAATATCAACAATTTTTATGTATCTTTAATCTGATTTAATTTATTGTAACCCTTTTAAATGTAATATCTAGTTGTATTCAGCCAACCTCAACCATATTTGACCTTATACATCTCTACTATTAAATTATTTAAATAACTTACCAAATGTTGAACCTTTTCAATTCTACATTTTGCTCTTTAAGAAATAGTCAAATGTCTCCAATTTTACCATATGAAAATCACTTCTTTTTCTTTTTCAAACCAGTAAATTAACCACTTGCTTTCCCCTCACCTTTTTTCCATCCAATCACGCAATAAATTTCCAAAACAAAAACTTTAAAGAAGATCCTGAAAATAATTCAATTATTTGAAAACGTCAAAATTATAAACAAAAACATGCGAAATTGAAGCATTCGGCAATAGGATATGGTAATCGGAGGAGTCGTCATAATAGTTTAATTAAAAAACCAACTAAGGCCCGAGAAAGGGGTAAATTTTAAAACTAATAGAGCATCTTAATATATTAAGTTGTCATTTGTCGAGAATTCATAATTGTTTTTGTTATAATATTGCAAATAGATGACGAACCCGTACTCATATTTTCCCTTTGATTATAAAAACAAAACTTCAACTGAAATCAATATACACGTTCATACTTCAGTTTTGTAATTGTAATGAAACTTCTCCATTTAGCCAACCAGATTGTTTGTTCTACGACACCGTGACATCATCAAATGACGATGAATATAACGTTTCGTTTATTATTTGATGTAAATGGCTAATACATAATATAGATCATTAAATATAGAAATAAATATAACATGATACATAATTTTTAATTGAAAGGTGTAAACATCACTTGTCCTTTCCAACATAGAATTCCTTTTCCATCACATCCTCCATTCCTTTTTTGCTATTTTCCTATATTCTAGTATTTTTTTTTTATTCAATTAAGTACATACAATTCATATAAGAAACATTTTTTGGTATCTAAATGGTCGTTTACCAAAAACTTATCCAGGTAAGTGTTTACTGACAAAATTCAACACTATCACTTATTTATCAGGTAAGATTTTAGTTCATCAAAACAGTATCGTATGAAATAATTTACCCAAAAAGCGCTAACTGTAGTAAAAGTCGTCGCTCTTACTTACCGGGTAAGACTCTCGGTCCTTGTCTTCGGTTTTACTGGATAAGATTCTTAGTCCACGCCATATTCAGCGGTAAGGTAATGTGACTTGGTAAACATTTACTGAATTAGCACTTGATAAACGGCTCTTAAACCTTGAAATATACATTTTTATACTAGTTATATACACATGTAATAAAGTATGATATAAAATTTGAATTGTAAGCTGAAAATAAAAATGAATATAATCCCCTGTTAAAAAAAGAAAAATCCCAAATTTATAAAGTATTATACTATATTAATATATTTATTGCAGTCTACTATTATAAATAAGGGGTGTGTTTTCAATATAATAAGTTTAATGAGTGGTTATCTTAATTGATTAAGTTATATTAAAATGTAAGATTTTAACTTAATGTTAAGGGGGTGTTTGAGATTGTTTATTTGAAATAACTTATGCTTTTCTATAAAAGCACTTATCAACTTATTATAAGTCAAAATGGTTTAATTTTTTCAAAAACTTTTTATTATTGGTTTGACACCGGTATAAGTTGTTTATCCAAGCACTCAAAAGTGCTTATTACCGGTGTCATACCGAAATAAATAAATAAGTTATTTTTATAAGCAATCTCAAACACCCCATAAAAGATTGACTTCATATATTAAGTTAGCTCACCATATCTTAATGCATTAAGTTAGAAATTTTTCCAAAATTACCTTTGTCTTACATTTTTAGTCAAACCTCTCATTAAAAAATAAGTAGTTAAACAACATGTATAAACTAAAATTTATAGTCAAACAATAATACTTAATTGTTTTAAATATATTTTAAATTATTAAGTATTGTTTATGTTATTTTAAATCATTTATATTATTTTAATTTTTTTGTCATTTTAAATATTTATTAGACAATTTATTTATTCAACACTTATATGAACATAAGGTTAAAACGGTAATTTTTGTTGTTTAGGTTATTTCTATTCAACAATGACAGATTAATGCTTAAAAACAACTTAATAGATTCAAAACTTAATGAATAAAAAATCAAACAGTCTCTAAGTACCATAAGATAAAATAAAAGTTATGTTAAAAAAGGTAAGAAGAAGTTTCTACTCCTGAATCTGTCTTAATTAAGATCAATACTAATGTTATATATTAAGATGCATCGGATTAATTTCTATAAAATAAAAAAAGCAGTTTGTAAGATAGAAATAAGATTAAACACTCGAGATCTTTTATAATGTTTCTCATTTTAATTTAATTTGTATTATTATATAATCTTTTGTGAGGATAAAAATGGTAAGATGTTATTGAGGATAAAAATGGTAAGATGTTAGGGGCAAAGTAGGGAAGAGCAGTCAAAGAATTTGACCTGATCAGACGGAGTAAATGCGTTACATGCTCTTATCGTGTGCGGTGGGGTACACCAATTACTTCCTGTGATCTCCCATGGATGTCTTCTTTGACTTTCTTGGTCCACCTCCACCAAGCTATCTCTCTAATAACCCACAACCCCTATCTGCCTTATTTCCAATTTCATTCCTTATGTATAATATCTAAAACAATCAGACCAAACATTTACATATTTTGGATGGGCTATTTATCTTGTAAAGCTGAATCCACTATTGCTGTTCATAATCCATCCAAGAAATCTGATAAAATCCATGGAAATGAAGATTTGATCCACAAGAAAATTCAACACTTTGACTACAGCGATTTGGAAGCAGCCACCAATAATTTCTCCGACCAGAAACTCCTCGGCCGTGGCAGCCATGGATTAGTCTACAAAGCACTCCTCCGCAACGGCCGTCTCGTCGCCGTCAAAAAACCCTCACACCAAAACAACCACCATTCCGCCATATCCGCCGTGCCGGAGAATGAAGTTGAAAACGAAATCGACATCCTCTCCAAACTCCATAGTCCTCGTCTCGTTAACTTAGTCGGATTCACAAACACCCCACATCAGAATCGGTTACTAGTAGTCGAATTTATGAGCAATGGAACCCTCTACGACACCCTCCATCTCAGCCAACAGCCGCCCAATTGGGGCCGGAGAATTCGGTTAGCTGTACAGACCGCCAAAGCAATCGAAATCCTCCATTCCTCCGTTCCGCCGGTGATCCACCGTGATATTAAATCAGCCAACGTTCTCATTGACCGGAATTTCAATGCCCGATTGGGCGATTTTGGGTTAGCCCTCCGGTGTCACGTCGACGATTATCGTCTTTTATCAACACCACCGGCCGGAACCATGGGATACCTTGACCCAGGCTACGTAACCCCAGATAATTTAAGCACTAAAACCGACGTTTTTAGCTTTGGAATTCTCTTATTAGAGATCATTAGCGGCAGAAAAGCCATTGATGTCAGCCATTCGCCACCTTCAATCGTCGATTGGGCGATTCCCCTGATTAGAAGAGGGAAACTTTTGAGTGTTTTTGATCCTCGAATTCCACCGCCGAAAGATCCCATGGTCAGAAAGCAGTTGGGGGTGATTGCAGCCAAATGTGTAAGATCTTGCAGGGAAAGGAGACCATCGATGAACGAAATCGTTGAATCCCTTAGTTTCTTGACGAAATTGGTTCCTCTCCGATCATGGAATGGTTTAAGTAATCCCTGTATGATGGTGGAGAACGTCGGACGACCGGTGGAGGTGGTTTCTTCTAGGCCAAAAACCGGTGGCGGTGTTGACGAGGGAAAGACACTGAGCAATCCCAGAAGGGTTTACTCCGATTTAGGGTTCCGAAACAATTTGATGGATCTTATGGCTGGAAGGGTTGAGAATGAAGAAGATGACACCATGAAAACACAGGTTCATCGGAGGTCAAGATTGAAGAACGAGGGTTCTAGTTTTAGGAGTATCGTTAGTGGTAATAAGTTTGAACGTAATCGATCCGCCGGAGAGACTTCGGCGAACATTAGTACAAGAAGATGTTATGCAGTCGCTAGATCAAAATCTTATGCTCAAACGAAAGCATAACATCTTTTTGCAGAGTCTTTTATGGATTGATTTAGATTACATTGTTGGGTTTATTTATGCTTAATCTTTTAATTGGTATTGTGATTAAATCGACAAGAACAGATACTTTGCTTGATCTTAGCCAAAAGGCGGAGATGGGTGTCTTTTCTTTTTGTATCTGTTCATTGTGCAAAGATATACAGCATCTTGTGCATTTTCTTTTCACGTGTCTTAAAACTTGTTCAAATCTTGATCTTTGAATTTGGATTGTGTTTAGCAATAGAAGTAGATCCGTTATTGCATATGATGATGGTGTCGTAGGGGTAGAATGGTGGTATATAAGCATTACGTACGCACACATGTTGATGTTGTACATTTCACGCGACCCAATCCGAAAAGGAAAAAAACGAAAAGAAATGTATGTAAGAAGGTATCATTTGGTGGATGTAATTGTAAAAGAGGTCCCATGGAAGAGTGTGTTTATAGGTAGGTGCACAACCGTTGACTCATTACCAAAAGTTATCATCGTTTTTATGAATAAAGAAAGGGTATTTGTGTAATGTTGTAAGATACATTTTTAATTTAATGTTTAGTTTTTATTTTGTCTTTATAGATATAATATAATTTTATGTGATTTTTAAAAAAATGATAATGTTTTTATTTTTAGATTAAATATAAATTTGAAGATAGTATAAAAATTTGAAAAA